TTCGTGAGCCAAGCTTGAAACTGTCCACCGAGGGAGTGGTGACACCACGGACATCAGCCGATGCCGTCCGTCAGGACTCTCCTTCCCTTGCTTGCTTGCTTGCTTTCTCCGTGTGTCTTTGTCTCTGTCTCTCTCTCCTCCCCGGGGAGGGAAGTTAGGGGGAGGGAGTGATAAGTTCATAAGCTCAAAAGATTATTCCTCCCTCACACACGCCTCACCGCATGCGTTTTCCCGGCCATGCAGACAAATAACGGGCAGAAGGCAAAAACTGTGCTGATGATCCCGGATAGCTCCTGTTCGCTGCCCCTTCTTTCTCTGAGGCTTGCAACCGATCTCTTTTCCAGCTTCTTCTCTGTCATCCGCTAGCTTCTCGACATCTCTGTCCCAGGGTTGGGCCTGTTTCTGTCTTCGCTGTGAAACACAGGACTTCTGTGACGGAAGCTCTATGTTAACGGGAGTAAAAACAGCCCCATTATGTAAGCCCTCTCGGAGGAGAAGCTTTCTGCACAGAATCTGCTTGTAAGGGGTATTGTTTATTTCCCGCTTGTAGGTCTGGGGGTAGGGACTTTGAAAAGCCCCTTTTTTTTATTTTAGAACAGGTTTAGACGGACCGAAAAGGAATTCTAAAACTGTGTAGATAGATAGTGCAGGGACTTCCCGGATACCCGGCTTCCAGTGTCCCCTGTTATTAACGACTTACATTACTGTGGTCCATGTGTCACAGTTACGGATCCAGGACGGGCGCGTGGGGGGCTCAGTCGGTTGGGCGTCCGACTTCGGCTCGGGTCATGATCTCGCGGTTCGCGAGTTCGAGCCCCGCGTCGGGCTCTGGGCTGACAGCTCGGAGCCTGGAGCCTGTTTCAGATTCTGTGTCTCCCTCTCTCTCTGACCCTCCCCTGTTCATGCTCTGTCTCTCTCTGTCTCATAAATAAAAATGTTAAAAAAAATTTTTTTTTAAAAATTAAAAAAAAATGGGGCGCCTGGGTGGCGCGGTCGGTTGAGCGTCCGACTTCAGCCAGGTCACGATCTCGCGGTCC